CTGGCGGAAGCGTGGAATCAGTGTCGTTCCTCTAAAGTATGGAGTGCGGTGGGATGGTAGGAGGCATACTGCTTTGGTGTCAATATATCATACAGATGGCACCGTCGCTATTGCTCATGGAGGAATTGATATTGGGCAAGGAATTAACACCAAGGTATTATTAATAAAACGTTAAAAGAAACCTGGGCGCTCAAAGTCTTTCCTAGTGATCGTTGTCGCAAACGAGGGCTGCGACTGCTTTTATGGCTGAATCAGTGTTTCCATATGACTGTTAAAATCGCAGTCACCGAACATTCTTTTAACGATCGCGTCGATCATATGTGGAAACCACCCATTCTATACAATCAAGGCAGGCTTCCTACCCAGGTGTGACTCAGGCTTTCTTTAGCCGCAAAGGAGACTATACTAAAACAGACAACCAAATAAGATATATAGATATTGTCATTTTGCTGAAGACGTTGAAATCAAATGCTGCCTTCAACACAGTATGACAGTGGTTAATTTGCGTTTATGTAGATAATTCTTTATGTACAGCCCAAAGCGATACCTCAATGGGTAAGAACATTGGCTTTCAGTCTTGAACATTCTAATTGAGACCAAAAACTACAAATAAAATCACATCCCTAAGCGAGTAGACGAGAAACCCCTTCTTTTTCATATGAGGGTCCCTCGGGCTTAATGCTTTATTCACAGTATTTGATAGAGGTATAATAGGAAGTGCTCATTAGATACAAATACATGCACTCATGCTGTAAGGTTCTGCAAGGCAAATTAAAGAGTCCACTACCTTGCTGTAAAGGTGAATTCAAGGGCTTACTTGAGTAAATTGAAGTAATTCTTAATGGATTAAACTGATAAATAATGACTTTCTCCAAATTGGACCTGCTTTAAACTTTTATCTTAGAATTTTCGAAATAAACTAACTTAGCACTTACAATATCAGAGGCGAATTTAAATTTTTCTCAAGCATTTAGTAATGTTTTTTGCCTCACTATAGTCAAAGCATTTTAAAATAGTAAAGACCTGTCCAAAATTACCCGTTAGTGCTATCTAATTGATGAGAAATTTTAATTCGCCTTCTTTAATACACCAAACTATTTCCCCGGCCCATGTATATCTTCTTTTTTGGCATCCTGGCTGTCATTATTTCAGTAATACATTGCAATTGGCCCATTATTACATAAATGAACTAAAGAAAAGGTATATCTTTTAGGTTGCTCAGGTTGCAGCGCACCAGCTGAAGTGTCCACTGGAAATGATTGTCATCAAACCAACCACGGCATTTACCAATCCAAACAGTACGTGACAAACCTGTAATGTTACCTTTGACTGATATCTTTGGACTTTACTCGGAACATTTGGCCCAGCCAGATAGGATTAATATCCCCTGTTAAAACTGTACAACAAAACGTACCGAACACCATTTAGTACAACGATGAAAAGGAAATAGTTGTTGAAGAATTGCTGTTGTTTCACAGCATTTGATCATGTCCAAACTATCGGATTTTTTGCACCACACACATACCTCACCACTACCCCGCTTTGAAACGATGTTCATTGCATGATGGCGACTTACTTAATATCCGTATCATATCGTCCAATTTGTCTTTTTTTGTAGATTCAAGCACAGCTGCAAGCTCAACAGGTGAGATGTGTTGCAAGGTTTGTACAGCTACTAGTCCAATTCATAATCTCATTCATAAAACCTGCTTTAAAAAGTAAAAAAGCCACAAGCTCTTTTACAGTGCGACAGCTCGAACCAGCCGCAGGTACTTGGAAGAAGATTATCCAATCACTACGTTTTATGAAAACAGAAGATTCTGGAGTTTTTTGCCAACGGACCAATGGCATTCATAAATTTGAGGGCTGTTTCCTGAGAGGTCAGGTATGTTCGAACGACTTTAAAGGTTTGCATAGTCTAACCTTGTCTTTTATTAGTCTGTTTGCTAAAAAAACTTGAAAATCTTTTGCTTCTAAAAGCGTTGTGACTGGATAATCTAAATACTAATGCTAATTATAAAATAAACACATAATAAAAACTATACCAAAAACACTGGAGAACTCCATTTCAATCAAATATTATTAATTCGCACAGCAAAGGTTGGCAAAGGCATTAAAGAGCTGTCTACATTACAGGGGTGGGGATTGTATGAAGATTAGCATTTCTCTGGCGGGACCAACTCTGGGTCCATAATCCAACAATGTTGGCCAGTATTGTGGTGGTTTCGGTAAGACGAGGTTCAACTGTAGTCATTGTAATGTCCAGGGGCGTAGCTATCACATGGACCGGTAGGTCCAGGCCTACAAATTTTTGGTTTGATCACTCTACCGTTTGCCAGTACTATAAGCTATGAGTTGTTGAGGCGAGCTAAAACGCTTGAGCTCAAAGTGTTGGTGAGGTCAGTGCGTACTAGTCATGCATGCAACTTTCAGGATATGTGGAAATGAAAGTTAGCCAGGCCTACAACTAGTCGAAAAGCTGGCTACGCCCCTGATGACTTCAAACCGAACCGAACTCCTGGAGCTGGGACTGGCCGTTGTCAAGTCATTTAGTTTTTTTGCCTGTTTATACTGTCTTCCGTCATTCAAAGTTTTGACTGTAAAAGTTTTAGTATCAGTGCCATTCACCAGTGTTCTCTCAAACAAATTTACCCTTTCGCCCTTTATCCCCTAACGCCACGAAAAACCTATGCCTATGTCTGTTATCGTATAAATAACTAACTTATTATATAGCACCGTCCAGCAGTTATAAAATATTTTTTTAGGCGGTAATGGAATGCTGCGACGTCTTAAATAAAGTGATTGATCCAATCAGAAAGACCATGCCATCAGGCGCGGCCTGGCCTGAACTGATTGAAAGGTGCTATGATAATGGAGTGCATTTATCCGCCACGAGCATCTAAGTTTTATACCACACCATATTTGCTTTCACTGAGGTCAAACATTACAGTATTTATCTTTCTTGAGAAACACTCATTCCTGGTGTTTGAACTGAATGTTGCAGTTTATGTTTCGTGTTGTTCTTATTGTTGTTGTTCATGGTAATGATGAAAACTGAAAATTTACAAGGAAACGAAAGCAGGAAACCAAAGATCACCATTCACATTTACTAGTTGCCTTCCAGTACTTCCGGAAAGAATGCACTGTGAATTGACCGACTTCTACTTACCCTAGCTCCCTTTAGGCGCGTGTAGCTAATTAAGTGGCAGAGAGTCTGGACTTTAACTTCAGCTAGACTCCTATATTGGGAGAAACTGAGATATTTTTTCCCAATACTTGTGTCACATACTGAGAAAAACATTTTTCTCGAAACCTATGATAATCGTCAAGTTAACAAAGTACCCAAGACCGATAAAACATAAACGGAGAGTCTTTTTTTTGCCCTTTCTTTTTTCAGGTACCAAGATCCAACACCACCAAGTGACACATATACATACAACACTTATGGTGTGACTTGCACTGAGGTTGAGGTTGACGTACTGACAGGAGAAAGACAAATCTTGCGCACTGATATACTGAATGACTGCGGAGAAAGGTAACATTAAAAAAGACTTTCAATTGCACTTCTCCATATTGTGGTGGACAGATGCCTTTGAATCACAAGGATGTTCTTTGCGAGTCGAAATTGTTTCCCGCATTTAAAGTCAAAACTGGTCAATTAATGAGTCAGTGTTTGGGCCTAGAAATAAATGTTTGCTAAATGGTCGTTAGTTTTGTAGAACGTTTTCAGTCAACAAAAAGGTTCTCACGGAACACCAACATTGCCGCCATTTCATTGTTTTGGGACACTAACATGGCGGAAGTGACGCCATGTGAAAACACTATGTTGATGCAAATACGTGGAACCTCTATCAAAAGTGGTTGGTGTTAAACACGGCCTCTTTAAACTAAAATGATGTAATGCTGTAATGGTATCCACAGCAAGAACCCTGTTCTGGACATTGGTCAGGTGGAAGGTGCCTTCATGATGGGAGTTGGTCAGTGGCTGACAGAGAAATTCATCTACGATCCTCAGACAGGGAGAAACTTAAGTAATGGAACTTGGGTAAGTGTTTGCAATAGATGAAGCTCTGACTCGCTTCTTAAGCCTGTGGTGATTCTTGTTGAACGTTTGTGTAAAATTAACTTTTTAGACGACATGGCAAAGGCACCAAATATCTTTAAAACTATCGCAGTTGCTTTTTGTTGGTTGTGCCAAGATCAAAGAGTTCAGTGGTGGCACAAGAGTTCAGTGCGACACAAGCAAATATCAGGGGTACGCTATTACATTAGGGCAATCAATCTAGGTGGGTTATGATATCATATCTTTCAACCAAGTTGCACAGTGTATCTCCAGTTATTTGGACAACAGACCCCAATCAACAGTGTTAATAGTCGATGAAGTTGATGGATAGATTGGCCGGAATAGATTGACAGTGGAAATACAAAGTACGAGGTTAAGGAATGGCAATCCAGTCTGAAATTCATGGTTTGCGAAACACGTTGAACGGTTTTTTTTTGCACGCTTCATTTGAATCTCAAGTTATCCGCGCCCCCTCGCTTTCGTCTTCCTATTGTTATAGCTTAGCAGTTCAATCATCAGAGTATTATCCAAGAGGGCCGGTATGATTTTCACGCACGAGTTAGAAAATCATAAACTTCATGAAGCCAAAATATTAACCAAATGTCTTTTACTTGTAACTTAATGCAGGTATCTGCTAACCTTTATGTTCCAAACTGCTAACCCATGTAAGGAAATCCAGGACAGTCTTGGATTCCACGCTGTTCAGGATCCTTGATTTTCAGTTTTTGCTAGTGGAACTTGGATTCCGGATTCCTTGAGCTTTATTTCGGACTGCAAGGCCCAGGATTCCACATTCCACTTGAAAATTCTCCTGGATTTGGGATTCCAGAATCCAGATTCCCTTACAGGGAAGAAAAATGGACTTTGGACTGATTTTCTTTACTATAATAGGACTACAAGCCTCCATGTTCAAAGGACATTCCTATTGACTTCAGAGTATCACTACTGAAGAATGCTCCAAATCCACTTGGCATCATCAGATCCAAGAGTAAGCAAATCAACTTATTAACTGCATGCAAGGAATGACCCTTGTCATAATTATAAAAAAATCCCATTTTTATTTTGTAAAATTTCCAGAATCCTAAAGGTTAAATGCTGCAATATGATCAAGTAATTTTTTTAAAAGATAAAAGTGTTGTAAAATGTATTTTACGTCTTACGTTTCATCAGCTTCAGGGGAACCTGCACAATGCATGGCCTGCTCTTGTTTGTTTGCTGTAAAACACGCTGTGGAAGAAGCACGAGCCGAAGTCGGCAAAGGGGAAGAATATTTTGTCATGAGTGAGTAACGTTATCATAAACTCATAAACTCCGTCTCCTTTGGTCGATTTGAGTCATTTTTTATTGCGTATCATGTCGACCTCTCACTGATTGGTCAACAGACCCTGGTCCCGCGGATACTCGTTTTATCTCTTTTTTTTCCCCTTTTTATATCAAGGATAAAATTTCAACCACCACGTTTTCACCAGTACTCTTTTTTTGGTTATTTTAGATGGGCCCAGCACGGTAGAGGATACACAGTTGGCATGTCTTGTGGATCCCAGCCACTTCACCCTGTGAGCAAAAACACTCGTAGGGTAGGCCGGGGGAGCGTATGGCGGAGAACTCTCAAGGTCTCCAAGGAGTTACGGCCGAACGTGAATGTATCAGAGTCGAGGGAATGAGCTCTTGTCAATGGTCGTTGAATGTTCGAGTCTAAAAGAAACCCAGAATTTGAAGGATTATAAAATACATTTACCTGTCAGCAGAGGAATCTTTTCCCTGGTATTCGGCAGTGGGAAACTGACTCTTTTCCTCCCATGCTGCCTCTGCGGGGAAAAACAAAACACTTAAAAGATTGGTAGCCTACGAGGACGATCTCTGGAGAGTTTCAGGGGCGACGGATAATGTTTTTTCAGTCGATCAAGAGATGTTTTGACACACAGTGACTGACCAGAGTTCCTATGATAACAACAATAGCGGCGAAACATTTGATTATCTACATATCTATATATATATTCGTTCAGTATACATACTTATATCCTTATACGTCTTTTTTACTTCTACTTACTAGTATTTCAATTTCCCGACGGGGAAAATCTCTATTTCTTATAGGCTCGTTGGATTCTCGGAGATGTTCCCGCCTCAGTCACTTTTCCAGCTGTTTACTGATTTCAATTTTATGTTATTTATCTATTTATAATGTTTTTACTTCTACTTTCTGTAATTTATTTTGTGTGACAAAATAAAAACGCCGACCACTTTAACATCAAAGTCAATCCTCCAATAAACGAAAGCGTTGGACGAATGGCGATTACGGCAAACGGCATATTGAAGTTGAAAATATCTCAAAATCGAAAATGAGCAGATAAAAACTACATAAAAGTTGTTGTACCCGGTAGAGCTACTAACTTTGGGGTAGACGTAATGAACAGTAAAGGCGTACAATTCACGTCTGCCGTTTGCAGTAAAAACGAAAAAAAGGCAAAGGCGCATACGAGCCAAAGGCCGAATCGGCGGAGCTTATCCCCGTTTCCTTAATACGAAGCATGCCTAGGAGTATTGCTACTCCTTCCTGGAAGGGATGCTAGTCCATCGCGGGGTTACCCCCAAGGAGTATCTCGCCGGAACCAATTTGTACACCTGGCTGAAGAGAGACAAACTGGAGTAACGTTCCTTGTCTAAGGAAACAGCTCGACGGGCGAGGTTTGAAGTCCAGGCTCCAGCATCCGGAGTTTGAGGTGTTAACCGCTCGACCACACACGCCTCCAAATCGTGTGTCTAAATCCCTCTAATAATTAGAAATTATTCGACAGATTAACCCATGCAACTACACGACGCTCCTGTTCAAACCCAACCTGCGATCAGGCTTTTTTGGTTTATTTCAGGTAAGTTCAAACCATGAGTGAGGGGGAATAGCCCAGCACGCAGAGGACCCTTCTTAATATTTATTTATACGGAAATTATTATTTACTTAAACTCTTGGACTAAATTTCTACTTAATAACTGTCAACCGTCAAAATTGGAACAAAAAAATTATCGTCAACCGTCAAAGCTAGAATCCCGCGCCCCCCCCACACCCCCACCCCACCCCACCCAACCCCACAAAGAAACACCAGACACGACGAAGACCGAAACAAAACAGCAACAAAAACCCCTACCAAACCCCCCTTCCGTAGATATAATAGAACAGATGCC